AATGCTCGATTTCGTCCCTAAATCCAGCATTGACAAGCATCCCACGTATCCTGACCTTCAAGTTAGTCAAAAAAAAATCATGAGGAGCTAGTCAAACTAATACTTCTGCCCGTGCAGCTCGCCTACTGCGGAGTTCCATGATCCGTTCCTTCTTCGCTTTGAGTTTCCACTCCACACCTGCTGCTGCGAACTGGGCTGCTATTAGAGAAAAGGGTCACAATATGTTGGGTCCTGGATCTCACATTATTGATTATCTCTGTTTCCTGCTGGCGCCGTTCGAGGTAGACCTTGCGCTCCGGGACCGACAGCGCTCGAAACTCATCCTTGAAGACCGTCATGTGCGGCCCGTGAAAGCCCTCAACAGAGTTCCCTTGTATTACGTTAGATTTTCTAGCAAGGGCAACATTCCGACAGCCTACCTTTGCAAGTAAGAAAAGGTCCCCGAGGTAGATATTTTTCAAAGACACCAGGATGGCAGTTCAACATTGTACGGACGACAAAGCAGTCGTCACTTTCGTTTACTTTGATGGGTCTCGTGGACGGTTAACTATTGGAATCAGTGGAGTCCTTAGAGCAGGACTCACTTGTGTTTAGGTCGACAGCTGGCACATGAGCGAATACGAAGGTGCCATATCGTATCACGAAATTTCTTGCCACAACCCTAGCGGTAGACAAGTTAGCACTCAAAATAAAGATTGCTAGGGCTTATGTACCTCATAATCACACTCTGCTCCAAATGTTAGAGTAGCGTACTGAACTTCGTTCATGTCCAAGGGTAGCTCTGGCAAACCGTCCACGTTCCGACGGACCGCTCGCCAGATGAAAGCAGCCGACCTCGACATAAGCAAGCGCCGAAACGCCTTAGATGTGCGCACGAGAGCAAGGAGGTCTCCTGGGTACATAAAACAAAAAATCTAGAGGGGAAAAAGTCGGTGTTTGAGGAAGAAGGCATAGAGGGAAACTGACATACCTCACAAAGGATGTCGATGGGTAGGGATGGGAGTATCGCAAGCTGACCGCGTTACTCGACCATATCCGACCACGAGGTTGACATTGATGGCAGACGCTATGCCAGAGGGGTCAGCACCTCCTTTGTACCTGGACAGTAGCGTTAGCCGTTACTTGGTAAGGTGGTGTAGCACAGAGTCAGAAATACTGGCGGGGGTTTATATGCTACATCCCGTTGTTGTCGATCTGAGGGGCGGCATGCGGATGGGGGCCATGGATCATCGATCATGCCGTGCAACCACTGCAAAGGGCATTGTTACCACACCACAGAATCAAGGAGACAACAACAGCTGATAAGTGTATTAAAATGGCCACAAAGGTACGGAGGTTCTCTAAATAATGGGCGCCAACGACGATCCGGAACTGCAGGCGACATCGCATGGAAAAGGACCACGTTTGGGACAACAGCAAGCTGCTGTGTGTTGATTATCTGGTGTGGGCCAAGTGGCCGTCGATTAAATATTGGTTGATGCTACCATGATCTGCCAAAATAAACAGCCTGACAATTGTACTGGCGGTGTGCATCCAGGGTCGACTTCTGGCTGGACACTGGCAGTGGCATTTGGCATGGTATACATGGCAGGTTTCAATGACCAAATTTGGCACTTGGCCACATTTCCCATTGTCCATCAAAGACTTGTCTTCACATTCACCACGAGTGACCGACTGTGGTGATTGTGGACAAGACAGCAATTGCTGAATGTCTTTGTTTTCTCGTCTAGCTCGTCCTACTCTATCCGTAGGAAGACCTTACTCCTCCTTTTTCTCTTCCAAACCTGGAGGTGGAAGATACTTCAATTCTGCTAAACCTCCCAAACCAGTCCTACAGCCTGGTCGAGGCAAAGTCGATAACATTAACAATTCAGTTTCCTCTGCAGACGGTAACCCTACCAGTCCGCCTGCAAATGGGAATAGCAAGGTGAAAGCTGGAGGCGCTGAGGAGATCTCGGCTTCACCCTCGTCCGCCCCCAGCAAGCCAACCGCCACAGTACCCCAGTCAACCCCAGCTCTCTCTCTCTCAGGAAGTGCCTCTTTTCCACTCACGTACTCCCCATCATTTTCCGACCGCATCTATGTCCCAATTCACCCATCCCTTTCAGCCAAGGAATATAAACTTCATCAATTTTTCTCGTTACATCGTCCTTTACTCCTTCTCAACCAGCCGACATCTGTCATCTTCGAATCTGCTGATCCTTCCATACCGTTGTTCAACTCTCCCGCTGATCAAGTGAACAACCTGTCTCAGGCAGCGCAGTCTCCCAGTATCGATGACCCACCGGAGTCGTCGCCGGAAGCGGATGCGGATGCTGCTCGCCAGCTGGCGCACACCCTTGTCATGAACCGCGTAGGAGGTACTATGGCATGGCAGGAAACTCTGTTCCAGATTGGTTTGAGTTCAGAGGGCTCAGACGGTGATATGACGTTGGCCAAAGAATCTGCGCAGGAATGGGTCAGCATACACGCTGACAGTACACGGCGAAAGAAGCGAAAGAAGATGAAGAAGCATAAGTATGTCTCTACCTTTGGCGAGTTTTGATTTTCTAACATCCCATCCTAGGTTGAAGAAGCGTCGGAGAGTAAGTTGACCAACGAACTTTTTCATAGGGTGAGCACTAACATACACATTCAGCTCACCCGAGCATCACGTCAGAACTCCAAATGAAATGAAGGTTCCATCGATTTGTATCATCGGACGTTCGATAGATATCATGATGTCCACAATTACTTACCGATCACAATTTTTCTTTCCCTTTGTGAACTCTCAGTCAATGGCAACTGTCTGTGTCCAACTTGGGCGACGTCCCCCGCTCAAACGAAAATAGGTTACAATGACTTTGATATCTACACAGCACCGAAGGTGTTCACTGGCAGGCAGCAGGCTAGGCAGCTAGTTGCTGTTGGGAATGGTGGCACCGCCAGCTACGCCTCTATGCTTCCACACTCTAACCCCGCCCCTTCTCTTCCCTTCCCCTTCCCCTTCCCATCCACCTTTCCATACCTCAATATACCCATTTCCTTCGAGCAAAACCCGCATTCGGGGCTCCTCCAACAGTGCCCCAAAGCAGACGATGTACCTCGGCCACTCATGCCGCCATCCGAGGTCCCACGAGCCCGATTGACTTTCAACAGTTCGCAGCGTTTGTATGAAGCTTGCATTAGGAACAGAGCTGGGGTAAGGGGACGGAGGGAAGGTAGGATCGACATGAGCAGGGAAGTGGGTTTCTATGTACGAGATTGGAGACTCGAAGAAGACATCCGTTTGATCTTTGTATTTCGTGTGAGCTCGAAGGCTAGACATCTCCCTCAGCACTGTCAATGATAGATAAAAGACGGCCCAGCATACCCTAATGGAGGCTCGCATCCCAACGCCCACATTTTTCCAGGCTCAGCGAGGTCCGGCCGGTGCAAATACGCCTGCCATGGGGTTGAGTGACATGGCATGAGGAACCCAATCGTTGTCGAATTATCGACAGGGAGTCCCCTCAAGAACGACATGACCTTGATTTGGCCCGTGCAGTGGAAGAACACAACATACACAGAAGCTGGGATCGAAAGCGACAAGAAGGCTGTAACAAAAATTCGAGATCGGAAGAGTGACTGGCGCGTTTTCCTCATGGTATTTGACGTCCATTTCGGATGTTCAGCTTCTACGTCGCGAAGAACTAGCTGGACTATGGATCTAGTGGCGAATATGTGCATGATAGGAAGTAGCGGGTGTAAAAACCGCCATTCCTTGTGCCCTATGAACGAATACACAAACACACACCAACCAACGCACCCCGCCATGACCCTTAACTTGGCCCCGTCCTCCCTGAATGCTAGCCAGAGTCCGTGAAGTACGAACGGGAGTGTCGTCATGCATAAAACGGGGACGGCCTGGGATAGGTAGTAATGCCAGGGACTCGATCCGTAGAATAACGAGATTGGCGATGCATTTACTCGCAGGAAGTTCAACAAGGTCAGCGTAGGCTTTCCATAAAACCATGTATCAAGGGCAAAAATAGCCAAAATGACTGTGGAGCTTCAAGAATATGTTATAACATAACTTACGAGGCGATATAAGACAGACGAACCCAATGATCGCGCAGTCGCGCACTACCAACATCAAGAGTTTTGCGTTCGTTCTCAGGCGCCAGAAGAGGATTGTGAACATGTAGATCCAGATGATAGCATTAGTTGGTCGGACAGCACATGTAAACGCCGCGAAGACAATGCATCGTTTGAGCTTCTGCCTTCAGGGATGTGTGAGCCATATATATGGAGAGATCCGATACAGTGGAACACACAAGTCGAGCAAAGACGACGACGCAGAAATCACATCCCATGGAAAGTGACCCAAGGCCACCGTTGTAAGGGATGCTTCCAGGGAATTGGACAACGATCTCGACAAGGATAACGAGTGAAAGAATGATGTCAAGGAAAGAAAACACTACAATCAATAGTGTCAGGGAGCGTTTCTGGGATAGCTCGGAGCGGATACATACTGAGAGCGCTGCGTGGATGGCGATGTCCTTGCCAGACACGTCGCTGAGAACTATGCTAGAGAGCTTCCACACTGACACATCAGTCAGTGCAGCAAGCAAGCCATGGATAGCTCTAGGTCCGGCGACCTATTGACAGACATCAGACGCGCCGGTGAGTAATATAACGAACGAAACGCACCACCAACGAAGGATACACTTCCAAACCCGACACCTTCAGGAGCCAGTACATTGGTATATTGACCGCGGGGTATAACATACTCCGCAGAGGCTCTGGGCTAATCCATTCCCAAGTGAGATATCCATAACCGAAGACATATACGTGCGCAGGTTCGAGTGCTTGAAAATATTCGTCTGGCTGGAAGTAACTTTGGGTGAGGATAGCGATGAGGACGCGAAGGAATATACTGAGCAGAATCATGGCCGCATAGGTCTGGGGCACAAGCCGCGAAGTGTACGAATCGCCAACTTTTCCCATTTGTGATTTGTAAAATGGACCTGCAACGTGTTGGGCATATGGTGTAGCTGGTTATCACATCCGCTTAGCATGACGCAAAATGCGGGGGGTCTCCGGTTCGAGTCCGGATTTGTCCACTTTTTTTATATACCACTTATCTGAAGCTTAGCGCCAATCCCCTGCTTTCACACAGTACTAGTCCTGCCAATATTGATCGTTGTGTGCACAGGAGATTCAGTTACTTAAGATGGTTATTATATATACTTGTCTTGCCAACAAATTCTGCTAGTCTGCATGAAAAAACCACGGGGGGTACAAGACGGCAGCGAGCCCGGAAGAGATCAAAACCCTATCCAGGTATAACGTTCGACACAGTCGGACAACAATCCAAGACAGCAAAGATAACGGATGCATTGATCGACGAGGGTGGTTGGAAAAGGTCTATATTCACGTTTAAAGATGTTGGACGTACATCGCTATCGCCTCTCTGCCATAAACCTCGACACATATTGTTTTGAAGTTGCTTGTGCAGATGCCTCATTACTCTGACACTGTCTTGACGACTCCTTCACCGTAGACGACATGACCACCGGTGGACGCTGAGGACGACTCGAGGCACGTACGCCCTCTTTTGGAGTTGTGGGCTGTACTCGAGGGAACGATGGGGAGTCAATAATCATCGAGGGAGCAGGGAAAGACGATGGGGTGACTATGTCTGGAATACTAGACGTCATGGGGGCGTCAGAGGGTTTGATCTCGGTTGGAAATCGTCGAGCGGGCTTGTTCAGAGGAAAATGCGGGCTGGGTGATAGTCTTGGGTTTTTGCGCTCAACAACGCCAGATACGGCTGGGTTCGGTCGAGAAATGCCCGTGCTAGGAGCGTCCTGGGTGGGGCTTATCTCTACCGTCCTTCCTGCATGCGCCGACTTAAACCTTGATGGCTTTGTCGTGTGAGCAGGGGCGGGAAGAAGCAGTGACGTCTCTGTGGGAGGAAGTCCCTCTACAGTTGGAGTAGGGGACACAATGTTGCTGGTCAGTAAAGATGGATCGAAATCAGGGCCAGCATTCTGGATGCTACCGTTCTTCAGCATCCGAAGCACCTCCTTCACAGTCTCGTCCTCACTCCCGCTTTCTCCAGATCCCCCACCAATAAGTTGGTCATTTTCTAGCTTGCATACCCTTATAGAATTTCGAAGGGATTTTTGGCGTGAGGCCGGGATGACGGATGGTCCTATTGATGTAGAGACAGGAGCGCGTGATTTGTCATAAGTTCCCGCCATTCGATCAGCTTGGAAACACGATAGTGGTGATTTTCCGCTCAACTGACGACCCATGAGCTGCTGCCGAAAACTTCACTCAGATCGACGGCTGCGAAACAGGTCCCACAACTCACCGGTTCTTCATGCTCATCATCATGACTACGTGTAGCCATTGTTTTCGCAGTCTCAGCGCCAATGGCATGCCTTTTTTTGTAATATTCTAGAGCGATTTCTCGATGATGTTGCGCAGAATCCCAATTAAATTCCTCCTCCAAGGGCTCTTCATCTGAAGACTCCTCGTTGCTCGACGAAACTTGTTCGAACCTAGGGTCCTCTTCGTCTTCATCTGGGGTAGCATTTTCCATTCGTGGAGACGAGTGCTCGGATGGAACAGGGGACTCGTCATCCGAGTCAGCACTATTCTGAAAGATGGGCGGAGGAGTTGCCTTAGGAAGCCGCTCCACTACATGCATTTTCATGGGGTATGTCTCTATCTCAGCTGTACCCAATATGGGTATACGGCCTGAAGAACGTAGTCTGCCAGTGGCAACGTCACCCCAGTCAACTTGATGCTTTGAGGATTTCTTTTCCCTATCATCGTCGGGCGCGTCCGCGAAAGTGACACTCTTCTTGGGGGTCGAGGATGCGGGCTGAAGTTTGGAAATGGCTTCTTCCTTGATCACATTTTCTTCTTTCTCCCTCGCCTCTGTAATATTCCGTATAAGGGCCTTCCCCATCTTCTTCTGCAGCTCTTTGGCAGCTTTAAGTTGTTCAAGTTCGGCTTTCACCGACTCCTTGCGTTTCCGCATCGCCTCTTTCCTCTCTTGCTCTGCGTCTCGTTCGTCTTGTAGTTGTTGTAATCGTTCTTCTTCCTCGAGCAAACTAAGGACGCGGTCACGTTCACGGCGCCGTCGCTCCCTTTCGGTCAGGGGAAGAAGGGGTATGGGAATGAAGTCTGGCTCTGGAGCAGTAGTGGATGTGGCGCTTGTCTTGGGATCTTGGGATATTGGCTCTGAGATGTCGACAATGGGAAGGCCTTCCTCGTTCAGGAGCTACATTCGAGAGTCAGCTATGTAACAACGACATTCCCCAAGCTGTTATACCTGGCCCCGTTCAAATTGTTGCGTTTGGTTCTGATCCGCGCCATCTCCTAAAATCTGATCGATCTTGTTAGACAGATTCCGCAGTTGTTCAGGCGACAATTTCGCGCCAGATGATGGGTCACTAGTTGCATGTCCCAGGGAGCTGAGTAAACCCTGCAAAGCTGAAAAGAGATATCTGTCTGAGTGCGTTACTTAGATTGCGCTTTGATATAATTACCCAGTCCTCGGCTCGTGTTGAGGTCCTTGATGTTGCCCACGCCGTTGGACATAGCAAGATTTGGTGTAGAAACAGAGGATGCATTGAATAAGTCACTATTACTTTATCAGCTACACTGATCACGTGAGCTACATACTAAATCTCATCAACTGTGATCTAGAGAGGTAAGCCAATAAATCGACAGCAAAAGCCAGCTGCATCGCGTCCAGGTTGTACTCGCCTTCATGGTCGTCACTCACGTTGACGCCGCCACCGCCTCCCGCAAGAAAACACGTAGGAGTCATACAAAGAAGAAAGTAACCAATGACAACTCAGAGACAGCCCCCAAGAAACAAATCGACGTCGACGTCGACATGCGACTAGAGCCACTGGTCAGCGAACCCATCGAATCAAATCCTGACACAAAAAAAGACGATGAGCTTATGATTGATATCGACCCCGGCTCCGTTCCAAAACCCTCCTCCGCACCATCGTTCCCCGTTCTCCCCGCTTCTGCCCTACAATCGGCAACCCTTAAATCAGATACCAGACGGATTCCCATACCACCGCACCGTATGACGCCTATAAAAAAGGACTGGATAAACATCTTCTCTCCTCTTACTGAGATCCTCGGGCTGCAAGTTCGGATGAACGTACAGCGGAGATGTGTAGAGATCCGGGTATGCATTTGCCGCTCCTTCATGTAGCAGACCCTAAGACAATCTCCAGACATCAAAACATACCAAAGAAATCGGTGCTATACAAAAAGGAGCCGATTTTATCAAGGCCTATGCATTGGGGTTTGATGTGAACGTGAGTAGTGCAGATAGATGTAGATGTTCCATATCACCATCTAATGATCTCCCCTCAAGGATGCCATCGCGCTCCTCCGTTTGGATGACCTTTACCTTGACTCTTTTGAAATCAAAGATGTGAAAACACTTCACGGTGACCACTTGTCTCGTGCCATCGGTATGTACTCGACCACAGTCCTTCAACAAGTTATTCATCCCGCCTCCAGGTCGAATAGCGGGACAGGACGGAAAGACGAAGTTCACTATCGAAAATGCCAGTCGTACAAGAATTGTCCTTGCAGACACGTTCGTCTTTTTTTTTCAACGTACTTATCCTCTTTTGTTGATGTCTTTGATTAGCAAAATTCATATCATGGGTTCTTTCCAAAATATCAAAGTCGCGCGAGACGCCATCGTATCTCTTATCCTAGGTTCACCTCCGGGAAAGGTATACGCTGGACTAAGGACCGTGAGCAGTCGGATGAAACAGCGGGCTTTGTGACGTAGATATTGCACGCATCATACACCGATTTGTACCTCATCTCACGTTATCCTCACGACACGACAAAAAAAAAATGGATACAAATCTACAACGATGGCACAATGCAAAGTCCATAGCAAATGTATAACAGGCAAGGCTAGAAAGTAGGCTGTTCAGCAGCCCCAGCAACATGACGATTCACACTCTCGCCTCTCACTCGATCAGTCCATTTCGTTCCCTTTCTTCTTAGATGCCTCATACTGGTCGACGATAGTCTGCTTGAGCATACTGTGCAAGTTGTGAAGCCCGCAACGCAATCATGGCGGATAAACTTACTTTTCCCAGGCGACTTCGTCTACTGGAGGGCCTTGCCCATCACCAACCATGACCATTTTTCCAACACTCGGGATTCCCTCAACAACGAAGAAGATCCAACCTGGACCTGGCGGGTAGACGTTGCGGTTTGGTGGCCCGTCGACCACGAGTGTCTCCCCATCGTCGGAAAAAGTGGCCACCAGGTATACTAGCCTGGAGTTCGCGTGCACCGCGTGTGTGATGAAGCCAAGATCCATCAATGCGACTAAGCGGGACAAGTTAGTCGCTAGCAACTCCACTCAGAAGAAGACGCACCCCTGACTGTTTGATTCCCTCCATTGGCTCCTGAAGGCATCTTGACGTTCATCTTGAACTGTTGCGCATAGGGTATGTTCTTGGGGATATCACTGACGACTGGCCGTTCTGCACTCATATATGGTGGCCCAAATCGCTCCACTCTATACTCCGTCCCGTACTTGATCTCACTCCTATCCAGGTTTGGGTTGCTTCCCGCGACCAAGACATCCGCAGTAGGCGTCAACGTCGCGACTGAATGATACATACGCGGTATTGGGCTCGAGTTCATATGGGCTGACGAGAATCGTTGACCAGGCGGTGCATCTGGCGTATACAAGACAGGTGTAAGGGTTGGGTTATCCGCGTTTGATTCTCCTACTTGGCCCTTGACGTTTCCGTATCCTGAAATCCCAGTTTTCGCACCGTTGACGATGAAAACTTGACCGGTTGGGAGCAAAACGGCGTCAGGCATGTGCCTTGGTTCGGGGAGCTGCTCCACTTGCCAGCCTGCGGCAATTCCAGCTTTTGTCAGCACAATCCTCGAGCACTGGCTGGACGCGGGATCCTGTGACGAGATTTCGTAACCGGGCTTTGTGTCGTCGATGGCGGAGCCACCGCATATCAGGATTTCGGGGGTATAGCTATCGGGGGACAATGGAAGGAGAAGCCCAACCCCTGCCATAGGATATGTC